CTGCTTGGACTCTCGAGCACGCGCTCCAAGTCTCTGGTGTTGATGCAAGTACAACCAAGGACATTATCTCAGCCAACGAAGCCCACAACATTGATACTGTGCGCAAGCTGTTTACCGTGTTCCAGGGTCGCTGCGCGAGCAAGCGCCAAGCCAACGACATCGACGGGTGATGTAGACCCCAGTAAACCAGCAGAGACGACCAGTCCAGCAGACAGCACGAAGCCGTTGGGTATGTCTTTGTCTTTTAACTTGGCATTTGCTTACGAGAATTGGCTAGACAGAGTCACTACTAAACGTGAGGTTCTTCTTCATCCAAGACTGTGTTGTCTGATGGATAGCAGCTGCCGGCCCTGTTGCGTTCACAGACCCCGTTGGCTGGTGTGCTATGGTGTCGGCTGACCTTTCCCCTCCCGCGGCCACAGCGCCGTCAGACACACAACACGGGATTACCAAGAACTACAAAACCATGCTGTGGTTCCCAAACAAGACGATAACCTACGGTTTTCTGCCGTACAATGCAGCGGCCAAGCACCACCCGGACTACACAACCACGCAGCGCGACGCTGAGCCGACCGCGTATCGCCAGAAGTGGGTGACTGATGTCTTCGACTACTATAACTCGCTGCAGCTGTCCGTCGTGTTCAAGAAAGTGGAAGACCACGACCGCGTCATGGCGCTCGACTTCTCACAGCCGGCGAATCAGAAGCTGGTGATGGTGCGCGTGTCGTTCGGCCCGGCGACATTCACGCGCCCGAACCCGTGTGACACGAGCCAGACGTTTACGCCTAGCGGGTGGGCGTTCATCGGCACTGACCAGACCGATCTCTTGGCAACGGCTGAATACCTCGCGGTCAACAACCGGCCTGGACCAGAGTTTACGACGTTCTGGCTTGCGGGAGTTCCACACGACTCGGATGCGGAGCTCACGCCTGCATCGGGCTCGCCATACACGCTCGCCGATATGCTGGCCGGTCGTAAGCGGACGGTCTACCATGAAATGGGCCATGTCCTCGGTTGTAAGTGAAGTCCCAACGAGGCTTGTTTTCAGAATGACAATCTCATACAGTGATTCACGAGCAAGACTCGCCGACGTCGCCCACGGCGTTGCCCGACCCGAAGCTTGGCCCGGCGGACGAGATCATCGCTACTCTAGTACTGATAATTTCTCTTCGTCCTAATACACACTCACATTTTTGTTAGCACGATCCGAATAGTGTTATGCTGTACCCAAATCAACCATACAAGGGCTCGCCGACTACAGTCACGAAGCTTAACACGGTCCCATCCGAGCTCGACCAGATAACTTTACGCGTAAGCCACTCCGCCTGCCGTGTATCCGCCCGCCTCTTGACACACTCTCGTAGATATTATATCCCTCCAGTGTGCTCCAGTTCAAAACAGCGCTGCAGCAGTTGACCTTTGAGGCCGACGAGGTTGACGAGCTTGTCGAAAAGGCAACAAGAGCATTCACGGCGGGTCTAGGGACAGAGGCGGGATTACGGATCTTCGAGGACCTCCGGACTGACCTTGCCGTCTATTTCAGCACAGAACCACGCCGGCTGGCCAATATTCTCCTCCTCCCGCCTCCAAATGACGTTGATCCGGCGCATGACGCCGGCGGCCCGGGCGGTACCGCCGTTGGCAAGCCCTCGACTGCGCAGGCCCCGGGCTTCCTCTATGAGCTTGTCACGGCGCTGAAACAGTTCTTCGACCCGGGGAATAACCAGATGTTTACTCTGCAGTTCCCCGGGCGCTTCCTTGACCAGAGCTCCTATGCGTGGGACACCTCCATTGCGGGAATATATGGCCAATTCGTGAAGCCGACAGTGGTCAATGAGGCCGAGTTCCGCCTTGTTGATCAGCTGTACGACTTGAGCGAGACCGTGGGTGGCCCGAACGGGACTAATCTGTCGATTGTTTATGAGCAGGTTTGCATCCCATTGAACATTTTTTTTAGTTTGCTCACTTGTTGAGTAGCTTCTCAACAATCTGCTACCACGCTACGTTGACAACGGGCTAGCGCAGCAGCAGAACCAGATCCGCCAGTGGTTGCTGAAGGACGTAAAGATGTCCCAGTGGATCACTGATATCATGGCGCGGCAACAACAGCGCGAGACGTCCTTAGCTAATGTGGTGGCACTCAGCCTGGGGAACAAGCCTGCTAGCGGGAGTGGTACGACGCGTCGAACTTTATTCCCCACCTCTACTGACCATGTCCCCAGGCTCCGCGCCCCGCGGGAGCGTCGTCCGGTGTGCTTGGACCCGGAAAGATGTTCGATACTGTAGTATTTTACTCAGTTCGTATGTCACGCGTCACACAGGCTATAAAATTCGAAATTTTTCCGCATGTCACACCATTTTGCTCAAATTCCTGTCCCAAAAAGGTAATTTATGACATTTCCGGGCGCCTCCGGCGCCAAGAACTTCCTAATTAGGAAATAATTCGAATTCCAATTTTCGTATCAGATGTCACACCATTTTTGGCATTCGAATTGAGTAAAATACTACAGTATCTCCAGCAAGGTGACAGCAAGCGGTGATACATTGAACCGCATCGAGTTGAGCGAGTTATTGATGAACGAATACCTGTATGCAAAACAAGACTGGGAGGTCGAACGCGACGCCCTAATTCGGCAGGCGACAGTCGTACGCATGCACATTCAGTTTGCAGCCCAACCTAACGTCCAGCCAGGCTGATTTGGGCACACCGGAGTCGCAGCGGGCTCTGAACGATGTGACGCAGCAGCTGGCACATATCACTGCCACGCGCCAGGCACAGTTGGCGTCCAAGTACGCAGACGCAGTCGTACGCGGCTACTCACATGCTGTCCACGACTACATGGGTTATCTCGACATTGCGAGTCCTGGCGAGGCGCTACAGGTGGGGTCTCCTCTGTGGTTTCCTTGTTTTGAAACTTAACACAACATTCAGAGCGCGAAAGACTCGCTGCGTGAGGCCGCAATGTCGTCGCTTGATGGCAGTATGAAGGTTTACCCAGTCCAGCTCTCACCCCTGGACTGGTTTGAGGGCCTGTCGACGTCCTTTACCATGGAGGATCTGACACAAAACCCCAAAGTAATCCGCCAGCAAATCAACGCGAAGTCGCAACAGCTTGACACGCTCAATGCCCAGCTTGTCGCGCTGAAGATGGGGACAAAGGGCGACCCCACCGAGTTGCAGGGCAAGGTTGATGCGGCCCAGACGGCGCTTGACAAAGCACAGGGAGCTTTGGCGCTCAAATATTCAAGCAACATAATCGCAATGGCGAAAACGTGCTTGGATGCGGCCGGTAAAGTCGACACCGGAACACTGGCGGGCAAACTTCAGATCGCAGCCAGTGTCTTGTCCGAACTGCCCGACATGATGAGCGCAGTACAAGACGCACAAGACCAACTGACCGCTTCCTCACGGGCGCTGTCGCAGATGCTGGCTTCCCTGGCGTTGGCGAATGCGACCGACACGAGACAGAGCAGCAACAGATCTCCTTGCAGATCCAGGCGCTGACGGACGACCTGAATGAGCTGAATACGCGCTGGCAGACGCTCACTTCTGGTACAGGGGGCGTAGCGCCGCCCGCCGTGGTCGACCACAGCAATGATGCAGTTCCGACCACACCACTTGAGCTCCCATCGGACAGCTCCTCCGGCGGGAGTCGCTGGCAGACGATAATGTTCACCAGCAGCCACGAGAGCCGCACCAATCTCGCGACCAGCAACGCCAGCGCGGCGTCAGAACAGTGGTCGTGCAACTTATGGATTGCGTCTGGGTCTGGCTCGTCGTCCCATTCGAGCGGGGCCTCGGCAACGGCGTCAAGCGCACAGGACGATAACATCGAGTTGGCGTTCCGCGCAACGCTGGTCACTGTCGACCGCGGAGGGTGGTTCCAGCCACAGTTCTTCAAAGAGTCGGCGGCATTCTACAAGGTATGTTTGTGTTCTTCCTGCACGGACAGTCAAATCTCACATTACAGGTTAATGACCTTGTGTCATGGGTCGATGACGACACCAAGAAGGTTAAGGGGCTACTCCCAGGCTTCCCTGTTGCCTTTATCATCGCCAAAGATATTGTTGTTCGGATCACACACAGCACGACGAACACGGCCGACAACAAGGCCAATGATGCCGCCAGCTCGGCGTCCTCCGGGGGCTTCCTCTGTTTCTCGTACTCGAAGAGCAGCTCCAGTAGCTCGAGCTCGGAGTCGGCCAGCTTCCAGGCGTACTCAAATGGATTTATTGTGAAGATCCCCGGGCCCCAGGTTGATATACTCCGTACTAAGAAGACGAATGCTGATTGTTGATGCAGATTTTGGGATACATTATCCAGAAAACCGACCCGGACGCAACGACAATCATGCCCGCAACACTCCCGACGAACTTCTTTGTCCCAGATGACGAATATGATGCGACTGTCAACGGCGGAGGAAAGGCCCCTGCAAATGGTGCAAACCTGGAGAGTGGAGTAGAACCACCGGCGAGCCATGCCCCGGCGCCAGGGATTAGCGAGGAGCAGCTGAAGGGTGTGTTAGCGAAGATGCTGGACGATAAAGTTGGGGAGCTGTTCAAACAGTTGAGTACCCCACCGGCAGCAACCGGGACACCTAGCACGGCATAGGTTTATCAACATAATACTGTAATCATGAGGTTCAAACAATTGCTATAACCTTGCCCCGCCCTTGGCACCGTGGGAATACATACGGGTCAATATACTTAACATACACAATGAAAAAAAGAATTAACTATGAGGTCGAGGCTGGTGGATGATCGGATCACGGTCAGGGTCAGCGCAAGGTCGCTGGAGGAAAGGGTCAAAAGGTGAAAGCAGGGAATCGATGACACGCGCGGGGCCGGGGCGAACCGGCGGCAGGCGGTCGGGGGCTCGGCCAGGGCAGGGACTGCGCTGTAGACCGCGGCCTTCCCTTGAGTTGCCTGCGTGGGAGGGCTGACGTGACGACGGCGTGGCAGCGTGTGAACGCCACGCCAGCAGCACAGCCCCATACCCTTCTTCCTTCCCCCCTTCACTACGGATGCTGCTGCGGACGACGGCGACGGCGACGGCGATTGTGCTGCTGGGCCTGGGCGTAGGGGTGCTGGGTGACGAGGCGAAGGCTTGTACGGGGAGGAACGCCGGGAAGTACTATGATTTGAGCGGGCTGAGGAACGCGTGCGTGGCCTCCCTTCATTCTCCCTCTTGCTTGGCTGATTTAAAACAGGAAGGACTACAGCCTCAAGACTCCCGGCGGGCAGGAGCTCGTGATCAACGCGTGTGGAGCGGTCGCGCACGAGACGTGGGGGCTGAAAAAGGACGACGTGGACGACCCTGCCAAGGTCGCTGGGTTTACGAGGAGGGAGCATGGCGATTTCTCGCTCGGGTGCGTCTCCCTTGCCCCCTTCCCGCTGTGTGTGTACTCAAGGCCGAGCAGACAGGTAAACACGACGCTGACTTTCGGGGCGCGCTCGGGGTACCCCCACCTTGTCTTCACCGACGGATCCAGATGTCTTGACAGCGATGGGAAGAAGGTGGATAACTTGCGCGGGTCTGCGGAGATCGAGTTTGTGTGCGACCCCGCGGCAGGAAAAGGGTCGCCGAGGCTGGTTGCGGCGCTTCCCCCGGGCAACAGGGCTTGTGCATTTGTTTTTGAGTGGCGCTCCGCCGTGCGTGACCTCTTTCCCCTCATCCCCTTTACTGACGGCAGCAGAACGCGTGCGCCACCAGCGAAGGCTGGACATTCGGCTCTTTCCTGTGGTTCCTTCTAAGCACGTGCTTCAGCCTGTTGCTTGCCTACCTCATCGTTGGGTTCATCTACAACACGCTTGCGCTCGGACTGCGCGGGATGGAAGCCGTGCCGCGCTTCTCGCTTGCGGGGGCGGTGCACCATGCGCGTGAGGCGGGCGAGATGGCGGTGGACTGGTGGGCGACGAGCGGGCCGGGGCGCGGGCGGTTCGGGCTGCGCGGGGACGGGATGCGGGCCGGAGGGGCGGGAAGGAGGTTTGGGAGAGATGCGGAGGTGGGCGGGGATGTCGAGGAGGAGGAGGGGTTGCTTGGCGGCAAGCCCCGGGCCGAACGCGTTTGTGCGCACGCGGAGAGAGCCGCATGTCAACCCCGCATCGCATCAGGCGCAGAGCATGGCTGCCCCGCCCGTCGTCAGCGCCGCTACCGCCAACGGCGCGCACGGCCCGATCCCGATGCCCGTCCCGGTGCCCCTTCCAATGCCGACCCCCGCGGGACTCAACCCGGCGTCGCACCAGGCACAGGTCATGGCCGGCCAAGGGCAGGGGCAGGCGATGGAGGACATGCCCGCCCCCACGCCCCTGCAGAACGCGGCGATCGGGCTGAACCCCGCGAGCCACCAGGCGCAGGTCCTCGCTAGTATGCCCGTGGCGCATCTGAGTCGGTCGCCGGCCCCGGGTGTTGGTCCGATGGCGCCGCTGACACCCGGGAGGGAGCGGTTTGCGCTGGGGGATGGCGAGGAGGAGGACGATGAAGAGGATGAAGTGGGGGCGGTGAAGCTGTGAGTTGAGGGGAGGGAAAAGTACTATTCTATTATCTTCCACTGTGTTTGTTGCGCGTGCGATCCCTGTCGTGGTCGTCGTTGTGTGTTTCGTCGCGGGGCCGGGAGCAAAAGTTTAAACATGACTCGACAGAAACTCAATATGCGGGGGCGAACCGGGACAGTATACGTCGTGGCCGCTCGCGGCCCTGTGTTAGATACCCACCTTACAACCAACACACATAAGTACTGATTAGGACACCTTCTTTTGATTTACACCAGTTTTAGGTTATCTGATTTTTTTTTGAAAAATACCCTCTAATGACAAGAATTAAGTAGATTCTGATTGAAGTTTATATGCTTGGAATAACCATTCTGGTCCATTCAAAACAAACAAGAACTAACCAGTTAAGTTCATTGTCAGTGTCGGGCTCGGGCCGTATCGGGGCGTCGGGTGGTCTGACTTTGAGTGGGTCTGAGGAGCACGAAGATGGGGTTTTAGCCCGGAGAATAGACAATACAGCTAAATGCAGAAGTGTAGGTGGTTTGTGGAGCCTACTCGACGCTCCAGCCTGTTTACTGTTGTTGTGGCTCCTGCCAAATTTTAAGCTGGCCTGGGAACAACCCGACCCCATTGAGTGGAGCCCAAGACCCATTTATGAGAAAAACATGACAACAAGTGTAAACAGGTTGGAGCGCTGAACGCGCTCCACAAACCACCTACACTTCTGTATTTAGCTGTATTAGCCTAGCAACTACATCCTGTAAGTACGGTTTTTATACGCTAAGATATTAGGGATGGATCGGACAGCCGCCAGTAGGGTGCTGTGAGTTTTGAAATGTCCGCAGCCCGACCGCGGTTTCGAAACAGGCACGTGACATATCCGGGATGCCCGGACATGTGTCTGGCATGTGAATCGTGCTCCCGGAACCGCAGCAGTAGCTGCAGACACATGTGTGGCCCTTAAGCATGTGTTCTGATATGCTGGACGGCATTTATGTGCAGCTCGCTCACTGAGCCGGCCCCTCTGTCATCGGCCCCGTCAGGCTGTCACCGGCCGGCGGCGACTTACCTCATCAAGCCGCCTGGTTTCGAAACAGTTTCGAAACGGGCCTGTTTCGAAACCGGTTTCGAAACAGTGGTGAGTAATTCTTTTTGAATTACTCACAGCACCCTAGCCGCCAGGTCCCAGGGCAGATTGGATGGGTGCTGTGTAGGGCCCGCAGGGGTGAAGGGAAGGGGTTGGAAGAATGGGGAGTGCTGAGGAGTACGGCGGGCGTGCGGGACATCCTTATTCCCTTGTTTTAAAACCTAGAAAATGAAGCATTCAGTGTCCTGAGCAGATTGTAGGTTTTAAATTTTCCATATCTGCCCCAGAGACCACCAAGTTATGCCTTCCTCTCTAGGAAACTATTTCTTATTTTTTTTTTTCTAGCTGTTGTTTGGCTTTCTGAGCATTTTCATCTTAAGGATCACAAAATATTCGTGTGTTACATGTCACGTCACATGACTGATCGTCACATGTATGTAATGACATCTGAGATGATCTTCCTATCATGTCATCAGACTGGGAAGCAGTTGACTTATATACATTATAGATAGATTGAAATAAGCTTGAAAACATGCTTGGAGGCTAGCTCTTAGCTAAGGTGATAGAACATGAACCCTCAGCTATAATTTTTGCCTTAAAAAAGTTCAAGTGTTTATTTGGTGTTTTCTGCTTATTACAGTGCTATCTGGAAATCTCTCTTGAAAATTTCACGTGTGGCTGTCTAAATCAGTCACATCAGTCACACAATATACGATGAATACAGGGGCCGCCCACGGACTCCGCGACGGCTCTATCACCCCTAATTGTATCTAAGCATCCATCTATCGGTTGATAACTTCTTGATTAGCTGGAGAAACAGGAAACGGGGGAAGAGAAACGGGCTCCGCACCAGGCTTCATAGGGATCTTTACCTGGGCTGCGTAATTCCCCAGTCGTCCGTCCAGCCCAAATGCCTTCGTGTTCCGTGTTATCACCTCCTCTAGCTGTCGTTAATGTGAGGCGATATGTCAATCTCAGTAAGGAGTTGGCCACACTCAACCGGTTCGGGCGGTGGCTCTGCTGTCTTGGGTCCTCCTTCCAGGGGTTCTATTGCCAGTGAACTTGGAAATACAGGTCTAGTGCCACAAAACTGGAGATCAAGGATTTGCCCATAACCTGGATGAGCTGTATATTGTGTCCTGCCTTGATTCTCAATCGAGAGGTCAGTGATTCCAATGCTTTTCGTGATATCAGGGTGATATCTGAGCCAGAATCAATTATGACGGGAACTGGATCCGCCGAAAAACTGTTAATCATTGCAACAGTTTCTGTGGAGCTTGACCCCAAGAACGAGCTGCCTGGTGGACAAGCCATATGCTTCCGCAACTAGTAATGTGGTAGTTGCGCGCATGGATTTCTTAAGCTAATCGTCTGAGCGTGTTACGGTTCAGCGCGGGTTTGGCTACCAGTGACGCACAATTTGCCTGTATTTCACTTGCGAGATTGGCCGGATTAGTGAGTTTCTCAGGTGAGTCATTTGACTCCATGTTCCCCTCCAGAGCTGAGCTACTCTGTGCACCTCCTGAGGGTTGCCGCTGATTGTTCCCTGTCGGTCTCTGTGTGGGGGGTGGTCTTGACGGCTGTGTGAAGCTAGTAGGTAAATGCGGCCCAATTCCATGCTGGGTTGAGCTAGAATTCGCTGGCGGAACGGTCCTTGGCCATGAGTCAGGTATTATTGTTACTGGCGGTACTGACTCGCACTTCAGAACAATTGGTTGCATGATTTCTTGCATCACTGAAGGCTTCTGGGGTGGTGGCAAATGAGAGTACTGTGCTGGGGTGCTAAACTGTACTCCTGGAGTATTGAATCTGACACTCTCTTATCGCAGCGGATATGTCTTCAATACCCTTCAAGCTTATTTCATCTAATATGTCCTCCTTCTCGAACATTACTTTCTCAAGTATGACAAGGAAGTTTTCGACTTTATTAGCGAGGAGCGGAACCCATTCCACTAGGCTCAAAAGATGCGAGAGCATGTCGAATTCGCCAGAAAATGTTTCATATAACCGGCGCGGAGTCCCTCAACATTCAAGTAAGTACACCCCAAAACCCCAGAGATATCACTGAAATATCCGTCAGAGCAATCACATAGATATCACGTTCCAATGTCAGTTTGAGATCAAGAATAGATACTCCTGATTCTTGTGGCTGGATATCCAAGTGATATGCTATATAGTTCTAAGAGACATCATTGTTGGGCTTTTTGTGATATTTGCCATGTATCTCAATATAACATTCCCGGGAAATTCAACAGATGTGTGCGACAAAGTCTTTTGTGTACACTGCCATGTGCCCATCACCATGTCATGACAGCTGTCGATCACATTCTTCTCCCTCTCCTTCCACGACAACCAGCACAACGACCAGCACGACCTCCTCGCTGACGCTTCTGCCCCGGAATATACGCATCGTCATTGTGATGGCTTCCCTCAGGATCTGAGTCAGACTCCTCCTGCTCCTCAAGCATCGCAACACCTTCCTCCTCCACTCCAGCCTCCCCTGCCCCCAAATCAACTCTATCCTCCGACATTGCATCCTCAGCATCATCCTCACCGTCATATTCGCCTGCCAAAACGTTGGCCGCATGCGTGGCTTCTATCTCCGCTGCCTGGGCTGCAATGCGAGCTGCCTCCGCCGTTTGAGCCTTCTTGGCCTTGGCTGTTGCAGCCCGCTTCTCGGCTGTCTTCTTTCGCGCCGCCGTTCGGGTGGACTGGGCTTTTTCTGCAATGGCCCTGTGGAAAGCAAGCCGATCAGTCTGAAGATAACGCAGCTTGTATGCATGTGGAGGGAGGACCCATGTTAACTCGACGAAATTGTGGAGGCACCCAAGATTCAGAATGAATATCTCGTCATCCGTATGCTTGATCAACTCGACATTGTGAGTTGTCAGCTCCCTCTCTTGTCTTTTTTTCCTAGCTACAGTTGGCTTACATCTCCCTTTCTCGCAGTCGTGCTGAACAGAGCAGGCGAATCGTATCTCTGCAGCCTTGACAACTAAGAACGATTTTTTCCCTTGGATGATCTCGGCGCCATTCGGCCCGACGAACGATGGGCCAATCAAATTGCGGATGCTGCAGGTCGGTGCAAATGAATTGCTCGATGGTAACCGGATTCATCTCTCCCCCAGATATAATCTCAGTTACGTGCCCGAGCACTGGCAACTGCGTAATCGTATCCCACCTGTTTATCCCAAAACCCACTGATAACAGCCAGTCTTTTCATTTTTGCCTGAGTGGTGAATAATTGGTGGAGATGGGGGTGAATATCTCCAAAGTCCAAGGCCATTTTTTTCGCCAAGTCCAACATGTAGGGGTGAATAAAGGTGAATAATTTGACACAGGCCATCAAGACCAAGTTCGCCAGTCATACTCTGTGACAAGTGTGACATATTGTCCCAAAAAGGAAGTTTTCACCAATAAACATGTAAGTAGGTTTTATTGCCTATGTCCTGTTCTAAAATATCATATAGCTATTTCCCTAAAAGGAAATTTGTTGTTTGTAAGGACAATACTCAAAGCATGTCACAAAGTGTCACAAAATTAAAGTTGTATATCATGACTATATGAATAACTTTCATCAAGTGACCTATAGTGGCAGCTCAATAGTAGTATTGGCACTGCCCAATTACTGGCTCATATATAACTGATGGGCTTCTATCTTGCTTGTTACTTGAGTTAAATGCACAAATCAAGCACTAGCAAGAAGGGTCTTAATAGTATTATCACTTAATATGGATCTTTTGATTATTATCATGTGATATAATTCCTTTATTAACCATTCAGTCATAAACAAGAGAATATCTAGTACTTTATGGCTGATTTGTAAGCTTAGTTACTATAACTTATTGCTCCATTATGTACCCTCCTATCTCCTAGTGAATATGGCACTGACAATGCCATACATTCACTTATCAGTGGCATTTAATCTTCATCA